TGAGGTACAAGGCTGCGGCTCGCTGCTGCGTGTGCTTCCGGTGCCGCTTGCGGATCTTGATCAGGAGGACGACGAGGAAGATGATGATGAGGATGAAGATGACACAGCCGGCGCCGATCGCCGCGAAGACGGCCACCTTGGAGCTCAAGAAGCCGTCGCTGGGACCCTGGGTCTCTTGGCCATCCTGGTTGACGGAGCCTGCAAGGCAAAGGGAGAAGGGGGGTCAGGCCCGGAGGACACCTCTGCGAGGGGCTCTGCGCAGTCGGTTCTGCCCTCCCTCCATGCACAGATCGCATCTGCATCCCCTGTAGCCCCTCTCTGCCACCTACCCGGCACAACAGCTTCCCCCCATGCTGCCTGGGGAGGGGGAAGCAATCTCCTCGCCTCCAAGGGGACAGCGGCCTCTCCCCACCTTCCTACCCCACTCAGACCCACAGATCCCTTTCAGCCCCGCCTGCAGGCACTAGGCAGGGCAGGCAAGAGCCCTGGCATCTGCAGAGGAGGGACCACGCGCTCTCTCCCCCAACCTGCACCACTGCTCCTCCTTTTCCATCTCCCGGCCACTGAAGCAGAGTACTGCTTGTGCCCAGGTGATGACCAGACTGGACCTCAGGAGCTGTTGCTCTCCGCAGCAGACCTGGATGCTCTGGGGAAAGTGGACTCTGATACCTGGAGCTCCATGATATCTGATTACTAACCCTCCAGCCAGGGCAGCCCCAGCCCCCCGAGAGGAGAGTGCTTGGCTGGCCATACATGGCAAGAAGAAAAGAACAACTCTTCCCCACTTCATCTGATCTCACTTTTCTCTCAGCAGGGTCAGGAACTCAGGAAACCACCTTCAAAGGGCTTTCACACTGGCTCAGCTCAAAAACCCAAGGACCTCACCTCCTCCAAGCCCTCTCAGATGTACTGCAAGGAACAGATGGGCAGCGAGGAGGAGGAAGAGAGTGCTGAAACAGCACTTCCCTGCAAAGCTCCTGCCAGGACATACCAGAGTTAGGAAAACAAACCTGAGCTGCTCCACACCACAACCTGGCTGCCTGTGCCGAGCCCCGAGCAGTCCCTGTCCAGAAGGTGCACGACTGGGGCGAGGAGATGCTGTGAGCAGCGGTAAGGGCAGAGATGGGCACAACGCCCATGGAAAACCCAGGTGCATCCCTAGTCCGGAGCGCCTGGTATCCCCAGGATCCATGCAACAAGCCTGGCTTGGAGCTGCTCTGCCTGCCAACCGCCAGCCTCGCCGCAGGCAGAGCCCCCATCCCTCTCCTGGGGTGTCTCTGGCAAAACCCACCCGGCTTGCCAGGCTCCTCCACCGCAGGGACCTTGCTGCGTGGGCTCTGCGTGACGATCTTCACCGTGTTGTCGGACTCCTTGCTCGGCCGACTCGTTGTCAGCTGCTCTGGGATCACCGCGTTTGGATCTGGGGAGGAGAGGGAAGGGATAGATGAGAGACCCTGATTCAGCCTGGACAGCAATAGCTCGTTCCACCACCTGAAGAACAACAAATCCCAGCCAGGTCCCCCTCCACGGCGCACAAGGGAGACACAGGAGCGATGGGAGCTGCCACAAGCAACACAGCAAGGCTGAGCTGCTTCAGGGCTTGTAGGAAGCAGCTTCCCCACCCTAATCCCCTCCTGCTTTTATGTTTTCTGAGCTTCTGTGCGTAGGCTGGGGCAAGTTTCTTGCACGGGCAGCGTGAGGAAGGGGAAGGGGAGGGAGCCTGCCAAGGCTGCAGCACTGCTTCTTCTGTTTATTATAAATATTGGCCCCAAAGTGAAAACACAATAATGAAAAGCAGCAACCAGGAGCTCTGCATCCGAGTCGGGGGCCGCAACAAGCCCAGGGCATGGCTGGGAGGCACCTGGCAGCTTGGGATGGGAGGTGCTGGGGAGCAGGCTCTGCCGCCACTGTCAGAGATTCCCGTGGTGTCCCACTGCTGCCGCTGGCCTCTGCTGTCCCCACAGCCCGGGGGCCACTGCCACTGAGAGCTACCAGGGCCACACTGAGCCCCAGGCACTAATGCCTGCCCGGCTCACACCCCGCCTCGGGTGCCCGGCAAGTCACGGGGGCACCGTTCGTGCCAACGCCCCGCTGCTGCACTTGCATGGTTCGTGGGTCCGGCGCTGAGCTCGCTTCCCACCAGGACACAAACCAGCAGGTATCACAGAACCATTACTCCATCTAAATCCCAACACACCACACGTGCGAGCGCTGGGAAAAGTAGAAGAGACAGAAGAAGATCCCAGAGATGAAATCCCTGGTTCAGGAACCAACGTTTTGCTGGCCAAAGGCATTTTGGCGATGGGAGACCCCAGGGAGCAGAAGGACTCACCCTGCCCCACTTTCATGACAATCTTCATGGAGCGCGTCTGGCAGACCCCTCCTTCCCTGTTCTCCAGGCCATCCAGTGTCCCATTGGAAGTGGCTGAAAGAAAAGAGAGGGAGCGTTAGGCAGGGCTCCTGGGAACTGGAAAAGCACTGCCAGGCAGGTCCCAGCTCTCGCCAAGCAGGTCCCCACTGTCCCCAGGCATCACATGGGACCTGGCAGGACCTTGGCACCTCCCAGTGTGGGGGCTCACTCCTGACTCCCCGCTGCAGCCTGAGGGGGGGTCAGGATTCTTCATATCCCAGTCCAGAGCCTACTGCAAGCATTTAATATGCAGAACTCTCACTTTCTCCACCTCCCAAAGACGTTTGCAGTGTTGAGGATGTGATCCCTCCAGCTTCCCCTCGCTGCCACATCCACACAAGCGAGCCATTCTCCATGCCTGCACCCTCCTCCCCCTTTAATTCCTGGATAATTTCCTTTGCTCCTTGGTGTATAATAGGAACACATGCATATGCACAGTTTAAATTATACATATATAATTACACACCGTGCCTCAGCAAAGAATGTAAACTCAGAGCCCCAATGGGGTTGAGTGGCTTTAATTGCAGGGCAGAAGTCAGTTAAATTCACATTAACTTTCTGCTTTAGCCGGCACAGATTTTTAAGCCTTTCGATCCTGCGGGAGCACAGGGAGCCACACGTCTCCCATTGCCACCATACAGGAAAGGACCCTCACCCACATGACCACCAGCCCTCTGCCACGGCTGGGACAGCTTGGCCAGGGGGGACACAAGAGGAAAAAAAAAAAAACAAACCAGAGGATTACAGGATTAAGCACCTAAATGGCAGGTTCTGCTAAACATACTCGAAAAACTGGTTTCTGACCCCAAAAGAGCCTTGGCTGCCGGCAGATGCTGTGCTGAGCAGGGGGGTGAATGCACGGGGTGCAGGGGGGCTCTGGCATGCAGACAGCTCTCCCCTGGGACGGTCTCAAGTCAGCACCTCCATCCGTCACACAAATCAGCCCAGTGCCACACCAAACCCAGGCACGGGGATCTATTCACCCAGGGAAACAACGGACCCTGGGAGGAGCAGGGCAACGGGCAACGGCACAAGCGGGGTTAGCAAAGGCGATCCACCGAGAACCACGAAGCTGCGGGGATAATTGTACAGAGACGAGGCAGTGAAGCAAAGCAGGATTTGGCCAGCACAGCGCAGCCAACACCTACCCTGAGCCTCAGTGCCAAAACTCAGCCCCGGGGTTTCAGGTTGCCTGTGCAGCCTGATTCCTGCCTCCTCCCTGTGAAAACTCGGGTTTGGGGAGGGGCAGGAGACTGAGGGCCGGTGGGATGAACCCTTCAGACACTGTTGGGTTGGCGAGGAGGTGGTGGGAAGAGGCTGGGTTATGGAACAAGGACCTTCTTCCCCTGCCACGCTCCTTTTCCAGCTGCAGGACCCTCAGGTGCTGCCATGAGGACTGGATGCTGGGCTACGTTGGAAGGCGAGCCTGGATCATGCCGAGATGCAGGCTCCATCAGCTCTGTCCAAACCTTGCAATCAAGGCTCTCGTGTGAAACTCCAGCAAATGTTTTACTAATCAGAAAGTCGTTGGGCTGTTTGCTGAGTTATCCCCTCTCCCACGGCGGGGTTTCGCCTGCCAGCAGCTCTGTGGACAGAGCTGTACATCCACGCATCTGGGATTCGCTGGCAGGCATTTTGACAGGAGCACTGTCAGCACAAATCCCAATGCAAATGCCTGGGAAAGGGGAGAAGAAACATCATTCCCCCCCGGTAGCCTGCACAAGCTCTTCCCAACGTGCACTGGAGTCAGGGCCTGAGCAAAAGCTCCCCATAGAAACAACTCAGGGAGCTAACTCCAACAGAAGGCACAGCATCCCCATTCCCCGAGGCAAGAAGCACTGGTTTTGGGATGAAACAAGCCGATACGTCCCAGCTCACAGCCCTGAAGCAGTTCCCAGTTTCCCAGCACCATGCCATGGGTGGCTCCATCTCAAACAGACATCACCAATTCACACTGCAACAAGCGGGGCAGGGGAAAACAGAGCAGTCTGTAAAAACCAGCCTCTGCAAGACCTCATAAGGTCTTATTTCGAAGGTAATAACCTCATTATATCAAAACAATCTACAAAGTATGGCATGAGTGTGGGGAACTAGGAGATCCTGCAAAGGCAGAGCACACAGCAGTAACAGAAGACAATTTCCTCCAAAATAACTACAGACACATTGCATTTGGATACAACAAAAATATTAAAGGTCCAAACAGGACAGAGGAGTGGCAGG